CTTGCGATGTATTTTGATAATGTTGACTTTGATTTTGGATTTCGATTGAAGATTTGGAATCGATGTCAAGGATCTGTGTAGACTGATTGAAAATTCGGAAGGTGTTGGACTCGATAACTGGATTTACTTTATTTCGTTAATCGATCGTGTTTGGGGAGTCAATAGACGAATCCTGGATATTGACTGGAATGAAAAGCGAATAAGGAGGATTCGTTGTCGATGGTTGATGGTAAATATCAGGGTTGATTTTGGTGTCTCAATTTCCAAGAATCGGATTGAGATAATTTGGGTTACAATGATTCGAAAATTTCATAACGAATCGGGAAGTGATGAAAATTTCGAAAGTTTCTAACGGGTGTTGACTAACGAAATTTTTTTTGGTGTCGACTACTTGGCTGGAACTAACGAAAGTTTGTAATTTTGGACATTACAACTAAAAAGGTTCGTTAAAATGGTGTTGTGGATTTCGTGATTGAAACTAACAAATGGGATGGAAGAAAAACTTCCTTGTGAATTGGGAAAAAGGAAGAAACACAGAAATTTCGAAATCAGTCCTTGTACTTTCGAAAGTTTGACACATTTCACCCAATTTCGACATTTGGGGTAATTTTTCGAAAGTTTGGATGAAATAAGGCGGAAGTTTCGCATTTGGTCCTTGCTGTTTCGAAAGTTTGACAGATTTCACCCACCTTTGAAAGTTGGGATAGGCTAAAATTTGGAAAGCAGTCCCTGAAGTTTTGAAAGTTTGGCAGTTTTTGCCCAAATTCGAAAATGGACTGATTTTGCTAAGAAATTGAAGAATATGCATTTCAGGCCCATGCAGTTAATGCGAATTGACGTTTTCTACCCAGTTTCGCAAATGGGAGAGAATTTCGCATTTTTGGCTGTTTTGGGCGCACCGGGTCACTGCAGAATTTTGAAAGTGACAATTTCTACCCATTTTTGAGAAATTTTTGTCAAAGGCGATCCGTCAACGAAGCTAAAAATTGAAGATTTTTTCGGTTTTTCGGATTGAAGAAAAAAGTTTATGCCACATGTTAAGGAGGAGTTTTGACATGAAAAATTCCGAATAGAGCACGTTCTCTTTCCTTGATGGTTTTATAATCAAATTTCGATTATAAAAAAGGGGAGAAATTTATATGGAAATTCGAAGTTGAATTTTTCATATTACGCGAACTTGAAGACCGAAGTGACCTTGAGTTTTTAAAGATTATGAAATGATGCGATTGGAGATTCGGAAGTGATTTCGGTTCGAGATGGGTTTGGATTTATTGAAGATTTTTGGGGTGTGTTTTTATCCTCAACTTTAGGGTGATTTTTTGGAGTTTGAGAAGCTCTTGATCATTCGTTGATGCTCGGTTCGTATGGTCTCACATCCTAGAACCCAAATTGAAGAATCATGGAAGAATTGAAGATTTGAAGTTCATCTCTACATGTCTCACGCTTGAGGCTCGAATCGCGTAGTTGCTCGATTTTGGAAGATTTGAAGTGGTTCATCCATTCCTAACCTTGAGGGGGAGAATGTTGGGTACAAAGTTATCCATGTATGACTTTGTAAATGGGTTGACTTTTGTAGACCTACTTGCATGTGGTGTCTTAGCCTTATGACATGTGATAGAGAGTGAGAGAGAGACATGTAAACACCTCTATATAAGGTGGGTTCATACCACTTATGGAGGTGTGCTTGAGATATGTGACATTGAGCGTGTGTGTGTTATTTATGTAGATTTAGATCTAGATCCTTTTTTGTGTAACACCATACAATGCATCTCTTAAACACCGAAATCACCATATTCATTGTGTGTGCTTTAATTCCGCATGCCAAACCGATGTTCATAATTCTCATCAATCCCATACTTGATTGAGACTGAACAGATTCCACCACTACACAACTAGCTCGAGAAGACTTCCACGGTGATTTCCAAGGTTACCAAAACCTGAGTATGCTATGAACCGAGTTCCCAGTCCACCATTGAGAGTAAACATACCTGAAGACTAAAGGAACATAGAACATACTGAACTTGACGGCAGATTGACCCGACCACTAAATCTCGGCGGACACAACTAAACTTTCGAGTGAACCTCCGCTTAATGGTGAATTCATCAACCAATGGCATGGGACTCATTGAAACTGAATCCAGAGAACCAAACACTACCCGGAACTGAACGTACCTATTTTTGGAAATAATTCACCGCTCAATGTCTGCCCAACTAATCTGAACCGCAATCCAAACATCAAACTGAAAAATCCCTCAAGGACTGATGCTCAACCTGAGAATCCTGGTTCTCCCCGCTTAGAGCTCAACCCACCATCCCCTGGTGTTGAAAACAAAACATAACTCAATCGGCTCAACCAGATACGACCATACCTGACCCTGGAATGAATAATACACGCAAAATGATCCTCCAGATACAGATCAAAACGAACTCAAAGAAAATCCTGTATTTCAGCTGAAGACCTTTGAAATACCCATACATAACTACTTAACTTAAAGGGTTTCATACAGTAGCGTAAGCAACTACCGACTTACGATCCAAACATATACTACTTACCTGCAACCTCAATGACAATCCAACACCTGGCCTTCTTATATCCAAAGAGTACAGACCCTTGCTCACATCAGCAAGTACCCATACTACATCAATCACCTGCGTACACGGGCTGTAAAATACTATTGCCAATCACCGTGACCAACAGACCACAAGCTGAGTTTACATCCCAACTCTGGAAGTCACAAGCCTGATCACTCCTTCTCCGAACTCGAAAACTAAAAGGGAAGAATCTCCGCTAAAGACAGCGACATTCCAATCCATCAATCAACCACTCACTTCTAGCAACAGAAACCAAACCGATCATAATCATCGCCCCCTTTTAGAGTCACGCGACTCGACTACTCGGCCTTGAGCAAACCCTCCGAGGCCTCAAACCAAAGCTCACTAGGTCTGCACCATACAACCTAAATCAATAACGCCACTAGGGCAGATCCATCTGCATGCCTGAGCAGCCACACCCAAAGGACCAACAGGAACTGAAACATTGCCGCGAATCATGGTATCCAACCATGCCATCTTACCACGGCCAACCCTTAGAATCCCTGAAACCTTCCTTGATTCGTGTATGGATCCTGTGCTTCAAGTAGTATGGGCACAATACTACCTTCCACACCTATCCATACTATCCTCAAGAATCATCTCGGGTCTTCTAAGTCCTAGTCATGAAGATACCCTCAATACCGGCTCTACAGCAAAACAACCGCACTAAAATACTTCCTAGCCTCTCCTAGGACTCATCCACACCCCCTCTGCCATCAGCTGCTGAAGAACCCCTACCAACACCAGCTAATCACTTCACAAATACAATTACATGCTACTAAGCATAAATAATAATCCTTCGACTAAAGGGCCCAACCCTACAACGGTTAGACACAAACGAGAGTTGTGCAATAGGTCCGAGTCCTTCACTCTAAGAATATTTAACCTTCATAGAATGTAATTTTATTGTATTCATTTGTTTGTTAAATTTCATCAACATGGGTCCCACAAAGAACAAAGCAAGCAGTATTCGAGTAGAGTAGCCGACGAGCACTAGAACGCAATAAAAATAAGACAGGTCCTCATGCGAAATTTTCGATCTCAAATTCCCCACACCACGGGAGCACCTTCACCCTGCTCTCACTCGCCCGCTATACACCGCAACCACTCATGAAACATCCACTAACTCTGGAGCACTCGTGTATGGTAACCATCCATAACACTGGATCCTATAGATAGTCGAATACTCGAACCTATCCTAAGCCCACAACCAGACAAGAAGCAGGAAATAAGGCCAAACCAAATATTCACAGGCTATAGAATCTTAGTTATGCACAAATATGATGCATACACTAAGAAAGTACAGTAATGATGTCAATTTCATATAAGGAAGAACCCTAGTCTAACATGCATCATAAAATAAGGCAATTCTCACTACTAGAAAAACAGTCTTTTACGACGCGCAATGCGTGTTGTAAAACGCTTATACGATGCGCAAATGTGTGTCAAGGAAGGCCCTGTTATAACGAGAGACGACATGCTTTTGCGCGTCGTCTATAGACGACGCACATTTACGACACGCTATTACAATGCGCATTTACGACACTCATTTACGACACGCAATGCGTATCAAGGAAGGCCCTGTCATAGAGGAAGACGACACGCATTTGCGTGTCGTAACCTTACAACGCGTTTTTAGGACACACATTGCGTATCATTAATGCCCCTGTCATAAATGAAGATGACACGCATTTGCGTGTCATAAATTTCAGCAACCATTTACAATATGCATATACGACATGCCTTTACGATATTCATTTACGCATAATACAAATTAAATTTGCATTTATTGTCTCATAAAATACCATATACAAAAAATACAATCCATTGCACAAAAGTTAATGTCATACAAATAAACGTTCCAATAGTAGACAAATGTAATACATCAAATGTGAAAGAGATGAAAGTCATCAACAAATAATAGTCGAACTACAAGAACTCGTTGCCTACCTTCACAACATTCGAGCTACTTTACTTGACACTATGCACATCAACAAGCCCTGCAAATTTAATAATGCAACCATCAGATTGACATAAACCAACAAATCCAAAGATGTCAGTAGTCATGGAAGCTGCATTATATGACAACTTTTTATCAGGGGGTGTGAATAAATCTTCAGAATACATATCCAAGATATTAGCCAAGCATACCTAAAAATAAAACTAAGTTATATGTTGCATATATCTTGATGTATACGAGATGTAAGGGCTGAAATAGACATTAACATAACTTCACAAAAACAGAAATTATGTCTCATTGACTCACATGTTTGATGTTACATAAAATACTCCAAAAAGGCAATGTGCTTTAGAAATATAGTAAGATGTTAGCCAAGCATACCTGAGTACAACCTTATTTCTTTTTGCAACAACAATGAAATATGGTAAGAGGTTTCCCTCATTATCTGTCAAGGCAAAGTACTATTAAGGGCTGAAATAGACATTAAGTCAAAGACATTAATCTCCCCAACCGCATCTATCATCCTGAAATCATACGAGTAAAGTTAAAGGTTAAATGAAAATGCTATAAATAGCAACATCCTTTTGCTGATTTGTTCAATATAGCATCCTATTTTAATTTTTAGAAATGTACAACTATGGATTTACATTTCCTGAAGCATCTGATTTGTCACTTTATGATATATCAAAAAAAAAAAAAAAAACAGTCAGGCAAGTATTTTTATCGAGTCCACACAACTTCCAAGCTGTGGTATCCCCCTGTCCAATCACTATGCTTGCAACAGCTGGACCTTTCTGCATAAAATAAACAAAAAAAATTTAATAATGAATCTGAAAAATATTATTTGCATTTGGATTTTTGAGTAAATAGTATTGTTTGATGTATAAATATAAGTAAGATCAAGTAAACAACCTTCTCCAAAGATGTGCAAGGTCCAATAATCCCTTGAATTTTAATGTCCTTTGAACAGTTAATCTCAAGTTCCCCACTGAAATTAGTGAATAATATCAAAAGATGAAAAATGCATGATATATTCATAATTAAAAGGGTTAAATGCAAGTAATATCAATGCACTTCCATTGATTTATTTTTTGTAGCCTTCTACTTTGTTTTTTCCTATTACAATTTTCAAGGTACTATGTCCTAATAAGAAAACAAACTGAAAGTACAATGCTATAAGCCTATAATTGGGTAGTTTTTCAATGTATAAAGTGTTAATAAGAAAGAAATGAAAGTAGTAGGCTACATAAACATATAATGCATATTGTAAAGAATGAAAATACTCACTTATGAGAGAGACCAAGAGATTCTTCACCCTTCTCAAAGACACGTCTAAATGAATCCTTGAAAATCGAATGTCCAAAACTTTCAGCTAAAACAACAAGCCCACCAGTTCTTTCAATAACAACTTTCATCTCTGCTACTCCAACCTATTAGCAAAAAATAACATCACATTTCAAACAAAATTGAGAGTATACAAAATCCCTGAAATAATATTACTACTTAATAAAAAGGAAAAAAGAAAGTAGAATGTTATTACTTATTACCATGATATGAGAAAAGTAAATAGCAACAATGGGTAAGCAAGCTAGTCTTGTCAAGAGTATACAAAATCCATGAAATAATGTTAAAAACTTGTAAATCCCTGAAATAAAGTTAAAACTTGTAAATCACTGAAATAATAAAAAAAAACAGGGTATATACAACTAATTAGCTAACCTATCTAGTGATATAATTGGTATTTCCAAGAAAATTTATGCGTTAGAGAGGAATCAATTGAGGGTGATAGCAAAGACTTTGCAGCCTCCTGGTTTTGGTCTTACTGTGAGGACTATTGCTGCAGGTCATACAATGCAAATACAACTCCAAATCTGCATCTGACACCTTCAATCCCTCCAATGATGTTGTAGCTGAAATACCAAGAAAATGGTTTTTTTGTAGTATCAAATTAAACGAAACCAATAGATAAAAATGGAAAAAAGACTTTAAATTTTTAAACCTTATTCCATCTACATTGTATGCCATTTCATGGCCCTATAGAGATAACCAAACATGGAGTAAAAAAATTGAATTAAAACACTCTAAGTTTCCTACTTAAAAATATAAGTATCATAATCCAATATTTAAAAAAAATTGTATTCTTTATGAAAATTCTTACCAGCATCCAAGTTTCCTGTTTAGAAATCCAATTGCATGTCGCAAGTTGTCCCCCTTTTTTTGTGGTGTAGGAAAGATTATAGTTAGAAGTCTCAAATCTTGCAACTATAAATGTAGATTTACACATTAGTTAAAAAAAGTTGTACAAACTATAAAATATTCAAAGCACTATAAATATATTATAAACAAATAAATAGTTAAAATTTTGATTTACAAATTATAAAAAAACCGAATGCTTACAAAAAGTGTATCGACAACTTTAAATTATTAGAAATTTACAAAAAAAGTACTTGAATATTTGTAACACACAAATGAAATTACAAGAACTATAAAGAAAAACTATAAAAACTCACAATGGAACCCTTGAAAAACAAATAGTCCAAAATTTCCATACTTTACTTATGAGTGTTTTTTTGGGGGGTGTGTGTGTGTGTGTGTGTTTGTGTTTGTCTGTGATTACATGAATATGGTAAGTTGTTTCTGGTGATTGAATTGTGATATGTGGTATGCTATATAGTTATGTGTTTTTACTGATTTTAACCCATGTCATTTTTTATTGTCACACACCAAAATTGATTAGAGGGATGATTATAATAAAGAAAAATCCACCTACAGATGCAACTTCATGAATGTTGGAAGAATATTTTAGAATTAGTACATAATCAAAATGAAATTAAACAGTGTTTTATTTTTACATGTTATAAAAAGTAAAAACAATACCATATGATCATATTCAGAGTTGTTACTTACTGTATGTGTAGTAGTGGGGGTTGAATTGCCATTTGACATGTGATTTCCAGCCCCCATGTGTTCTGAAGGCGAATGAGGATGATCTTCTATAAGCTGAAACAAGAAACAAGATAGAGGTGTATGTATTTAATATTTTATATTTATAAAGCTAATAACAAAATTTTTCTTTAAATAATTAAGGAAATTAGAAAGTATACTTACCGAAGCAGATTCTATCGTTACAATCCCATGAAGATTTAGGTGGAATCTAAAACCTTTGACTTTTCCCCACTTGAGAAAGGAACAATTTGGAAAATATATTTAATCATTAATCAGTTGGTTGAAAAGGACTTAGGCCTGGTGCGCCCCAAACCACCCACGCTACATGCCACTGTTAGTAATCTTGCATCAATTAGGTCAATTTCAAACATAAACCCAAACATATAATCAAAACTGATAGAATATTGGGATGAAGTGACCTACTGAGGTGTAACACCTGGTTACTATTTTACTATTTTAGCTTAAAAGACCCAACTTTTAACCCAAATTATAAGTGTTGGAAGTTAAAAATTGAAAATATTTACAAATTCATTTCACTATCAATTCCCTAACACCTAAATTCAAAGAAAATCCAAAAAAAACCACAAGAAAAATACACATAACATGAAAATAATGTATACTATAAATATTCATTAGAGTTTTAATCTATACCAGGGTCAAGAACAGGAAGACGACAATGGAGACTGATAGATTTATATGTTTGTTGCATACCTGGTATGAAAAACTGGAACTCCACTACCAAGTCTACAAATAAAAGGTGGATCAAGTATAGAAAAATAGGGCAAATGATATTAAAAAATAAAAAAGAAGAATTGTTGACACCTTGGAATTCAAGCTCCAAAACATGTATTTCATGTTATTTGTTATAAAGTATAGACCTTTCATGAATAATGCCCTTTTAGGCTACAGGATACACTAACATACCACAAGGGTAAAAGAGTAATTCAACATCTTGCTATCTCTATCGTCTTGCTTCGTTCAAAGTGTTACCCTCAAAAAATTCACAAAGCATCCGGTCAAGATCCTTTGTTGAATACCTTAGGTACTTATCGGGATTCTTCCCATTTTCAACAAGTGCCCTCTAATTTTAAAAAACATAAAACAAAATATTTGTTCATTTTTTTTAATTTATTTGAGCCTGAGAATTGAGATAGATCACATAAAAAATATGTACCCAAAATATTTAATGAAAGATCTGTATGCAGACAACAAGACTTCAACAACTGCAAGTCTGAGAGATTCTCTAAGCTCTGTGTCAGGAGCGGTCCATTGAGATTGTCTTTGATGAAGCTCTTCAAACTGAACATTGAAGATCTTCAACCTAAAGTTAAACCACCACATTTCAATTTATATATCAACCAAATTTTAAAATTTTCTAACGATATAACAGATAGTTGAAAAGACAACCATATCCTTTACAAGTGCTCGTGAAGCTCCAATTCTGTTACCAGCTCCATCACCACCAATAGAAATTTACAAACAACCTCAAGAGCAACTTCTAGATCCCTAAACTCAAAGCGCAAGTAGTCAGGTGAAGTGTTACCAAACATGTCCCCTAAGGACCTATTTGAATTTCCCATTCGTCTGTTCAACTCTGTCCCTTCAGATTTCCACACCTCACCACCCCCTGCATCTTTCAATCATCTTTGAAATTCCACCACATATTGTAACACATAGCTATCAAGAGAATCTAAAAGCAGAACTTCATAAGCTGTTATGATGCATCTCTAAGGTTTATAGCTGATGCAGGTTTTGGTGGGAGGAGATGCTCTTTTAGGTCAGCCATTGTGCCTGATATCAAAACATATATAGAGTAACAAAAATAATAGACGAAAACAAAATATTTAAATAGATAAAACCATATATATACCACTGAGATCATTTCATGATATTCTTTCAGCAAATCCTCTAGAAGAAGATCCAACACCTAATTCCATAACCAATGACACAATGAAATCATAGTAAATAATATAAAAAAATCCAAGTAATTAACACATAAACCGGGTATTATACCACAATTTTTCCGCATCCTCGAGGACCCAGAAGCAGTATCAAATTATGACAGCCTCAGTTACCGAACTTGATAGATAAATTTCAACTTGCTGAAATTTGTTCAGAGATTAAATACGTCACAATGGAGGACAAGAAAAAAAAGAGATTATACTATTCACGTATATATAATTGGAAAATATATAGAAAATTCGAATAACCATGAACCGAACCAGTAGTTGCTGTCGGGAGAATTGGAGAAGAGGGAGTTTTGAAGATTTAGTGTTGCGTCATTAGGCCTATTTTGTCTAGTCCAGTTTGTATAAACGAGTTGGGCCTGTCCACTCGTATTTACTGCTAGGGTTATAGTATATAAGGTGCATGCATGATACGTATTTTAGTTAACTTTGATAATTATCTTTATAACCCTACTTTACGCCTCTACAGAAGCAATTCTTCATCGAGTTCTTCTGAGGCGTGACTATCAATCATTCAGCACCAGTTTGATCATATCGTGTTCTAGTTTACCTGTTTTAATCTATTCGATCATTAAGGATTTATCCCTATCAATTGGTATGTTAAAACGTGGGTGAAAACTAGAACATTTGATTGTTCATCGTTAATTCGTTATTGGTGTTGGATTTTGGGTTTCACTTAGCACATGGTGAAACGAAGCTAAGATCATTAACACAGATGTTGTGTAACCATAAACCTCAGTGGTAAATTCTGAGAGTCTCAAGGGTTACGATGATGAACCGAAATGAGATGGAGAATAGTGATAAAGAGGTTAAAGAACCGAAAGTACCTCTGCTATATAGAAAGGACCGAGCAGTCAACTCTTAACTCAATGTGAGACGAGTAAGGTAGCTCATGACATCAGTGATTTTATCAGCCTGATTGGGAAGACTTGATTGGTGTACATCAAATCAGTAAGGCTTCACTTGAAGTCTTTGAGGCTTTGGTCTACATACAGCAGCATGCTTCTAGGGACACTTAGCTAGTACTAAGATAAAGAGATGTATACCTGTCCCAGCTCCATCTTTTGAATGATCGATGATACCTTTCAGTAATATTTTTGGAATTTTCGATTTTAATGAAAAGCAACAAAAACAACAAAAATAAAATTTGGATTTTATGAGTTTTCTGAAAAAGGAATAAAAAACAGAAAAGAAAATATTTTTGAGTTTTATTAGAAGAAATGAATTAAGAAAAAATATATACATAATGTACAAACCATACAACCGAAACTTCACTTAAAAGCAGTGAAGCGAAATGGACCGAGCGTTCGGTTCATTTCGGTTCCCGAAAAAACAGGACCGAAATAGACCAAGCGTTCGCTCTATTTCGCGTTCGGTTCATTTCGGTTCCCGAAAAATCTGGAGCCGAAATAGACCGAGCGTTCGCTCTAGTTCGCATTCGGTTCATTTCGGTTCCCGAAAAATCTGGAGCCGAAATAGACCGAGCGTTCGCTCTATTTCGCTTGATCAGTTTTAATGAGGCGAAAGTAGTTTCGGTACAGACTCAGCTTCCATCATTCCTATGCCTTGGATAATTTTATTTAAACTTACTTCAGGTAAGGCTTTTGTGAAGATGTCAGCTAGTTGATCAGCAGACCTAACAAAGTGGATTTCCACATTACCATCTTCAACGTGATCTTTGATGAAATGGTATCTCAGTGCTATATGTTTCGTTTTGGAGTGTTGCACTGGATAATAACATATCCGAATAGCACTTTCTAAGTCACAATAAAGTGGAACCTTCTTCATGTTTAAGTCATAGTCTCTAAGTTGGCTTTGTATCCATATGACCTGCGAAGTACAAGATGCTGTAGCAATTTATTCAGCTTCGGCTGTAGAAAGTGAAACACATGTTTGTTTCTTGGACTGCCAGCTGACGAGTTTACCATCGAGGAATTGACATCTGCCTGTAGTACTCTTTCGGTCCAAACCACATCCTCCAAGATCAGCATCAGAGAATGCTTGAACAAAAAATCCTGATTTAGCAGGATACCATAGACCGAGAGATGAGGTTCGCTTCAAATATCTGACGATGTTCTTAACATCCACCATATGAGGTTCTCGTGGATTAGCTTGGAACCTGGCACAGTAACAAACAGAAAACATAATATCGTGTCTACGAGCTGTTAAATACATTAGGGACCCTATCATTTGCCGATAGAGGGTCATATCTACAGCCGGTTTCTCCAAAGATGGTGTTAACTTCGTTCCAAATGCCATAGGAACCTTTACTTTGGAATCTCCCATCATGCCAAACTTTGCCAGTAGTGTCTTCGTGTACGCCTCCTGATTAATAAATATGCCTTCGGGTCCCTGTCTAATGTTCAAGCCAAGGAAAAAGTTAATAGGACCCATTGAACTCATCTCAAATTTAGTCTCCATCAATTTCCTGAATTTAGTTGTGAGGCTGGGATTCGTGGAGCCGAAGATGATATCATCGACGTAAATTTGGACGATCATTAAGTGGTCACCCTCTTTCTTGCGAAAGAAGGTTGGGTCAACCGAACCTTGTTTAAACTTGGACATTTTTATAAATCGAGTAAGGGTTTCATACCAGGCTCTAGGAGCTTGCTTCAAACCATAGACAACTTTATCCAGAATATAGCAATGATCAGGGTGCCTTTCGTTCACGAAACCCGGTGGTTGCTCAATGTATACAGTCTCCTCTAGTTCTCCATTCAGTAAGGCACACTTGACATCCATTTGAAAAACTTCAAAGTTTTTATGTGCAACATATGCCAGAAAGATCCGAACAGATTCTAACCTTGCTATAGGAGCGAAGGTTTCTTCGTAATCTATACCTTCTTCCTGACAATATCCATTGACAACCAGCCTTGCCTTGTTGTGAATCATATTTCCCTCTTTATCCATCTTGTTCCTGAATACACATTTCAATCCAACTACAGATGCATCCTTTGGTGTAGGGATCAGTCTCCAGACTCGGTTTCGCTCAAACTCGTTGAGTTCGTCTTGCATAGCCTGTACCCAATCAGAGTGATCAAGTGCAGAGCTAATTGTTTTCGGTTCAATCGTGGAGACAAACGAATTGAACATGCAAAATTCCATTTGAGAGAATAGAGCTGTTTTCTTGTCTTTCAGTTGAGAGCGTGTAAGAACTCCTTCAGATGATTCCCCTATTACTTGAGTTTGCAGATGATCTTTTGTCTATTTTGTGAGTGGGGGGAAGTTAGGATCATAATCAGGATCCAATTCAACATTTATTTCTTCTTCAAATTATGATTGAGACTCTTCATCATTTGTATTGGTATTCTCCCCCTCGAATGACGAAACAATCTCAACATCCGGTTCAGAATTCTCCCCCTCGATTGGACTTTCATGGGTCATTGTTGGAGATGGGTTCTCCCCCTGGAATGGTAAGTTAGTTCGCCTTGGTGTAGATGAACTCTCCCCCTAGAATGTAGAGCATCTATGAGAAGAATCACTCAAGTTTTGAGGTTCGTCTTAAACTTGAGCTTCGCTCGAGCTTTGAGTTTTTCTTTGATCGTGAGGTTCGCTTTGAACTGGCTGTTCGGTTGGTCCATGAGGTTCACTTCCCATTTCTTTTGCTGCTTCATAGATAATTTTCTTCAAGTTGTCGATCTTGTTGTCAGTTGCTTTTGCCTCAGAATTAATTGCTCTCTGGTTCGTCAAAGAGAAACATTTATTCTTCAAATAGATTGGAAATTGGAACCGAGACTTGACGTGATTTTGGAAAGCTTTCCTCCGCTGGTACTTTGTTGGATTACAGTTTCTTCACATAATTATCATCAAAAGTGACATAGTAGGTTTCTTCGAGTTTCTTTGAACGTTTATTCAGAACCCTATATGCCTTTGAAGTTAGTGAGTAACCAAGAAAAATCCCTTCATCTGCCTTTACATCAAACTTGTTTCGGTTCTCTTTGGAGTTGAAAAGAAAGCATCTTGAACCAAAGACATGGAAGAACTTGACATTTGGCTTGCGATTATTCAAGATTTCGTATGGAGTGATAGAAAATCTCTTGTTGAGGAAGGTTCGGTTTTGGGTATAGCACGCAGCAGCAATTGCATCAGCCCAGAAGTACAAAGGTAGAAAAGCGAAACTGAGCATGGTTCGGGCCGCTTCACACAACGAATGGTTTTGCCTTTCAACTACGCCATTTTGCTGTGGAGTATAGGGAGCAGAGAAGTTGTGAGATACTCCCTTTTCAGCGAGAAATTCTTCAAACTCTTGGTTTTTAAATTCCAGCCCAATGTCACTTCGGACATTTCTAACCACCTTTCGCAATTGAAGTTCCATTTGCTTTATAAATGCTTTGAGCTTTGGAGTTGCCTCTGATTTCTGTTTAAGAATGAAAAACCAGGTGAAACGTGAAAAGTCATCAACAATAACTAAATTGTACTTACTACCACTAATGCTTTCTATAGCCGAAGGACCACATAGATCGATGTGAAGAAGCTCGAGAGATTCGATGACCTTTGTGTTGACAATTCTTGGATGACTCTTTCGGCTTTGCTTTCCCATCTCTCATGTTGCGCACAAGTGTTCCTTATCAAATTTGAGAAGTGGAAGTCCTCGTACATGATCACCGATAACC